AAGAAGAAGAAGAAGAAGAAGAAGAAGAAGAAGAAGAAGAAGAAGAAGAAGAAAAAGAAGAAGAAGAAGAAAAAGAAGAAGAAGAAGAATATAAGCAGATTAATAGAAGAGTGAAGCAAGGATGCGTGATTATACCAGGCATCTTTGACATATTGAAATAATCCTTTAAAAAAACAACAACAAACAAATAAAACCCCACAAATGTCAGGGTCTCAAAATAATTTGCAAAAGAATATTACAATATCAGTATGCCGACGACATAGTTTAAATAGTAGTTTCAGAAATAGACCTCTATTTCCTTCTTAATACTGTTGTAATCGAAAGTGAACGTTGGATTAATGTTGAAAATGAAGAGAAAACAGAGAGCGGGGTATTTTTTTTAAAAAGGAGTACAGTAGTTCGTACTGGTGATCTCATAATCAAAGGTGAACTGGTCAGACAAGTTAAAAAATTTTAATGACTAGGATACATGATTAACATCCGATGCCAAATGCTCCTCAGAAATTAAAACGAAGAATCATGCAATGGCAATAGCTAGATTCAATAAAATGAGACCAATCTTGAAAAATAGAAGAAACACAATGATTACAAAGATAAAAATTCTATAGAGTTAACCTTTCTATCCTTCTTTTAATCAGTGACCCAAGACAGTGGAAATACATAAAAAGCAACAGAAATACAGAAATATGGAAACTTTGGAGACTTGAGCATTTCTTAGACGTACAAGAAATCAAATCAGGCAGTACTCGATAAAGCTATCGCTGATAAAACAATTTGGAAAACACAAAAGCAGTTTTGAGTACCCTTGAATAGACATAAGGGCCTTAAACATCTAGCTGTCAATAGTAAACAGGAAGGCAAACAAAGCAAGGGTAGAGTTACCGAGCAAGTTACTTGGAAAGCCCACGCTGATAGGTGACGGGGAAAGTTAAGGATTATGTAGGGTTTTGAATGAATTCAAGCAACAACAACAACAACAACAACAACAACAACAACGACAAAAAAGAGAGAGAGTAATAAACCATCAGTGTTAATGTTCGTTGCACATCTGGCGACTTGATGATGATTACTTGTGCATCTCGAGATTACCAGTTTGCTTTCAGCTTGCTTAATCATAAAATATCAATGACAAGAGACTGCTTTGACTAACGCATTTTTTTGGCATGTATTTATTCTTAACAATCTCAGAGATACTATAGACGCATCTAATTTCCTTTAAATGATATTACATTTATGCGTTTAAAAATGTCTTGTAAATGCATAGAAATAGTTTAGTTATTTTTCCATGTGACAAGTTGCTGAGGAAAAAAAATGTAATAGTCTGAGGATGTGGCGGGTAGGGCATCTAGGAAACTGGAGCACACGATCATTTCATTTTGATCTGAACGTATTCACGAGACGCAAAACTTGACATATTGGTCTCTAGATATGGAAAAATCTATTTATCAACATTTTGTATATATTTTGAGCGACCAGACACTAGAAAATGATCCTCTCCAATATTTAGAAACACAATTTATTCATTATGAAGCGCTAAACAATTGTTCGTGATCAAAGGCTGACCCAAGACATACAATATCTATATAAATTATGCATATGAAGGGCTTCATGACAAAACGCCATATATGCCCCCCCCCTCCCCACAAAAAAA